AATGCATCCTTCAACCTCAGATAACAAAGATGTTGCTCCATGCCACTAGACCAGTGCTATACTAGGTCAGCATGTTCTCCCATACTGCTCTGCAGGAAAAAGCTTTCCCATCCTCAAATAAGTCCTTAAGTCTGGGAGAAGTAATGATTTCTTCAAATGTGCATGCACCTTTTCAAGCTACTAGGGTCATGAAGAATCAGAGAAACGTGGTAACACAAGGAACACAAAAGTTCTTCATTAAATGAATGGTCCAACAAAATTAAAGACCTTGATATAATGAAAATGGGAGAGCAACATAACAGTTGGGTTAAAACAAAATCATTTCAATGAAGAAAGATTATACCAGGAGCCAACCCATGACACCCACCCTGATTCAGGCACAGATGACTTCCTATTTCTCTTAGAATAAAGTTCAAAATACTCACCATGGTCCACAGTCCCCATGACCAGGCAATGATCTCCATAATCTTTTTGTACCTTCCCTTGATCTTGCTCTCTCCCCTCCGGGCCGGGCCTGTGGCATTATTGCATAGCCCTGCACTTAATCCAATGCCTCTGGTAGCACCTTGCTCCCACTTTTCCTGCCATCACAGGATAATGAAGCCCTCACTCAGAAGCAATCCATTCTTGGGACCGTGAGCACTGAATGCCTAGTTTATGTCCTTTACAGAGCCTTCTTTATTGTATTTATTGTATTTATTGTACTTAATTTATTTTACCCCTAAATATTAACTAAAATGAAGAAGACCAGACATACTATCTTGGACACTGTTCTAACCTACATAACTGACTTGCACTTTATCTTCCAGGACTCTGTCAAATTTGCAAAATGAGTGAATAGATGCATGGAGAAACTCATGGACTCTCTGCTTCTCTAGGCTTTCAGGTCAGGACCCCCACATATGGCCCACATCAGCCAGTATCCCTCAATCTCCCTTGATAAGCTTTTTCATTAGCAAAAATAATTTTGGCATGTCATTTTTTTAAAGAGATAAGAACCATATTCAGGTTCTCATACATGCTAAAGCACTCTACCACTAATCCATATACGCAACACCTGGGTCAAAGCTTTTAAACAAAACAAGATTCCTATAAAATGGTCTAGTGTTGGGGGGTGGT